TGCGTGTGTGTGCGTGTGTGTGTGCGTGTGTGTGTGTGCGTGTGTGTGTGTGCGTGTGTGTGAGTGTGCGTGTGTGTATGCGTGCGTGTGTGTGTGTCTGTGTGTGTCTGTGTGTCTGTGTGTCTGTGTTTCTGTGTGTCTGTGTGTGTGGCTGTGTGGGTGTGTTTGTGCGTGTGTCTGTGTGTGTGTCTATGTGTGTGTGAGCGTGTGCCTTTGCGGGTGTGTGTGTGTGCGTGTGCGTGTGCGTGTGCGTTTGCGTGTGCGTGTGCGTTTGCGCGTGCGTGTGCGGGTGCCAGTGCGGATGCGTGTGCGTGTGCGTGTGCGTGTGTGCGCGCGTCAGGCCACAAGCCTGAAAGGCAGTAAATGGGCGGTCTAGGTAACCAGAGACACTCTCAGAGAACACGCGCAAGCAGAGAGAAAGGCCTCCTCTCCCGCCTCGCAGCTCGGAGGCCCCCGCGCCCCCTTCCCGCCACGAAGAGAAGTGGCTCCTCGCGCTTCTTGTCCTCCGACGCCAGCGTGATCGGCCTCACGGTCACGACGAGGCCTCCGGAGCTGACAAGCCCAATGCCGCTCCCCGCTACCCACACGCCATACACCCCCACCAACTCCCCGCCCAACCGTCCACCGTCGCTTTTCCTTCCGTCCTTCTCCTCCTCCTCCTCCTCCTCCTCCCTCCTGCTCCTCACCTCCTCTCATCCTCCTGCCTCCTCCTCCTCCTCCTCCTCCTCCTCCCCTCTTCTCCCCTGCTCCCTCCTACTCCTGCTCCTCCTCCTCCTTCCTCCTCCTCCCTCACTCCTCCTCCTTATCCTCCTCCTCCTCCTCCTCCTCCTCCTCCTTCCTTTTCCTCCTCCTCCTCCTCCTCCTGCTCCTCCTCCTCCCCCTCCTCCTCCCCCATACTTTCCACCTTCTCCTCGTCGTCCTCCTCCTCCTCCTCCTCCTCCTCCTCACTCCTCCTCTCCTCCTCCTCCTCTTCTCCTCCTTCTCCTCCTCCTACCTGCTCATTCATATCATCAGCATGCACCTCATACATCACATCCTCATCCTCATCATCATCATCATCATCATCATCATCATCATCATCATCATCATCATCATCATCATCATCATCATCATCATCATCATCATCATCATCATCATCATCATCATCATCATCATCACCACTACCACCATCATCATCATCATCATCATCACCATCATCATCACCATCATCAGCATCATCGTGGACCTCATCATCATCATCATCACCACCACCACCACCACCATCATCATCATCATCATCATCATCATCATCATCATCATCATCGTCCTCATCCTCATCATCATCATCTTCATCATCATCATCATCATCATCATCATCATCAGCAGCATCATCATCATCCGCCGACCACAGAGGGGTGTGCAATGAAGGGCTGTGTTAGAGACACCACGCCAGAGACTTTGAGCTATCCCGCTACCTCCAACTTACGAAGGGGCTCTGTTTTTGGGACCCCCCACCCGACAATTCCGCGCCCGGAACCGACCCTGACCCCCCACCACCACGCCCCCACCACGTCCGACCCCCGCACCCTCCTGGGGGTTCTGTTCTTGGGACCCCCCATTCGACAATTCCGCGCCTGGAACCGACCCTGACCCCCCACCGCGCCCCCACCACGTCCGATCCCCGCACCCTCCTGGAGGCTCTGTTCTTGGAATCCCCCTCCCGACAAGTCCTCCCCGGAACCGACCCTGACCCCCCACCGCGCCCACCACGTCCGACCCAAGCACCTTCCTGGGGGCTCTGTTTTTGGGACCCCCCACCCGACAAAGTCCGCGCCTGGAACCCGACTGACCCCCCACCACGCCCCCACCACGTCCGACCCCGCACCCTCCTGGGGCTCTGTTCCTTGGGACCCCCCCCACCCGACAATGCTGCGCCCGGAACCGACCCCCCACCACCACCACGCCCCCACCCGCGCCCGACCCCCGCACACTCCTGGGGGCTCTGTTCTTGGGACCCTCCACCCGACAATTCCGCGCCCGACACCGACCCTGACCCCCCACCACGCCCCCACCACGTCCGAATACCCGCACCCTCCTGGGGGCTCTTGTCTTGGGACCCCCGACCCGACAATTCCGCGCCCGGAACTCACCCTGCCCCCTGACCCCCCACCACGCCCCCACCACGTCCGACCGTCGCACCCTCCTGGGGTGTCTGTTCTTGGAACCCCCACTCGACTATTCCGCGCCCGGAACCGACCCGGCTGCACCCCCCACGCCCCACCAGTCCGACCCCCGCACCCTCCTGGGGTGTCTGTTCTTGGAACCCCCACTCGACAATTCCGCGCCCGGAACCGACCCTGCAGCACCCCACCACGCCCCCACCGCGCCCGACCCCCGCACCCTCCTGGAGGCTCTGTTCTTGGGACACCTCACCCGACAATTCCGCGCCCGGAACCGACCATGACCCCCCACCACGCCCCCACCGCCCCAACCTCACGGCACCCTTGCGCGCCGGGGGGGCGCACCCTGAAGCTGACCCCCGTAGCCGCCCCAACCTCACGGCACCCCCCCGCCGCGCCGAGGAGCACTGTGAGGCTGGCCCCCGCCGCCGCCCCAACCTCACGGCATCTCCCGCGCGGCGGGGGCACCGCGAGGCTGCCGCCGCCCCCGCCCCACCCTCACAGCACCCCTCGCGCGGCGGAGGCACCGTGAGGCTGCCTCCGCCTCCGCCCCAACCTCACGGACCCACCGCGCCAAGGGGGTGCCGCGAGGTTGGCGGCCGCCGCCCCAACCTCACGGTACCCCCCGCGCGGCGGGGGCACTGCACCCCGCCCCAACCTCACGGCACCCCCCGCGCGGCAGGGGGGCCCGCGAGGCTGGCCCCGCCGCCGCCCCAACCTCACGGCACCCCCCGCGCGGCGGAGGGCACAATGAGGCCGGCCCCCGCCGCCGCCCCAACCTCACGGCACCCCTGCGCGCTGGGGGGCCCCGTGAAGCTGGCCCCCGCCGCCGCCCCAACCTCACGGCACGCTCCCGCGCCGGCGCCCCCCGCCACCGCCCCAACCTCACGGCGCCCCCCGCGCGGCAGGGGGCACTGCGAGGCTGGCCCCTGCGGCCGCCCCAACCTTGCTCCGCCGGGGGGCACCGTGAGGCTGCCCTCTGCCGCCGCCCGAACTTCACGGACGCTCCCCGCCGCGCCGGGGGGCGCCGTGAAGGTGGCCCCCGCTGCCGCCCCCACCCTCACAGCACCTGCCACGCGGCGGAGCGCGCGCCGAGGCTGGCCCCCACCGCCGCCCCAACATCACGGTACCTCTGCGAGCCGGGGCGGGGCCGCGAGGCTAGCCCCCGCCGCCGCACCAACCCGGCCAGCAATGGCACGGGCCAGGGTGCGGCAGCCAGGCCAAGTGCCCCGGCACCTTGGCGACAAGGAGCGGCGGCCGCAAGTGGCAACGGGGAGCGCCGGCTGACCTGCGACGACCACGTGGCGACGAGAGCGCCGGCATACCAGCGGCGATGAGGAACGCGCCGCGCTGGCCAGTGAGGGCACGGGCCTGGTGCGCGGCAGTGGCAAATAAGGGCACTGGCCAGGGCGCAGCAGCCAGCCAGGCCAGGGACCCCTGCACCTCGGCGACGGCAGCAAGTGGCGACGAGGAGCGCCGGCAAACCTGCGACGAGGAGCGCCGGCAGACCAGCAATGACGAGAGCCCCACACAACAGGCGCCGAGGCCCACGAACGGTAGCCGGCGCTGAAGGCGAGGTGCTGTGTAAGGAGAAGCAGAAGACCCTCCGGCCCCCCACCCGCCCCTGCGACCTGAGTGCACAACCCAGGCCTGCAGAGGGCGTCATAAGGGCACGGGCTTACAGACACAGGCCGAATGGACGCGCCTGCCCGCTAATTATGCCTGGGCGAGTGCAACACGAGCCAGCACCCAAGGCACGGGTGAAACCGCAGTGCCCGGCGCTCCCCCGACGTCGACTGCCCATGGCAACCAGAGGCCAGGAGAAACAGCTGACGAGCCAACAGACAAGACAGACCGAACAGACAGGACAGACACGACGGACACGACAAACAGCACAGACACGACAGACGCGACGAAGACGACACCGCGGCCCCCGACGGAGGCACCAAGGCGAATGGAAGCGCCCAGGGACGCAAGCTCCCGCGGGTGAAAAAGATGAATACAACCTAACACTGCGTTGAAGCTTTACGAGATCACAACACATATCCAAGAACCCTCTGTCCTCCTCCTCCTCCTCCTCCTCGCAGTTAACCTTCTTTTCCTCCTCGTCGGTTGCCTCCCCCCCCATCATTTTTCCCTCCTCCTCTTCATCATCCTTCTCGCTGTCCTTTTCTTGCTGCTCCCTCTCTTCTGGGGCGCAAGCTCCGGGGCCGCGACACTCTCCACCGGAGACCACGACCACGAGGGCACGCTCGTGGGGGGGGACGGCGAATGGGGGGGGGCAACAAGACAAAGGGAAGGAGGTGGAGTGAGGAGCGACACGATCAAAAAAAAAATGCTAAAAGAGTTCCCCACATAAGGATGTTACGAGGTTACATTGCTTCTTGTCTGCCACCCGCCCTCGCCTTCTCCATCTTCTGGAGGGGCACGAAACCTGATAAATATTATCCCAGAGCGACCCTACCAAGGAGTTGGAGCCCCGAGGAGAGCAATATTAGTAGTAACGGTAAACGCCGTCCTCCTCCTTCTCCTCTTCGTCGCAGTTTTAGCAGTAGCGGTAGCAGTAGTAGCGGTAGTAGCGGTAGTAGTAGTAGTAGTAGTAGTAGTAGTAGTAGTAGTAGTAGTAGTAGTAGTAGTAGTAGTAGTAGTAGTAGTAGTAGTGGTAGTAGTAGTAGTAGTAGTAGTAGTAGTAGTAGTAGTAGTAGTAGTAGTAGTAGTAAGTAGTAGTAGTAGTAGTAGTAGTAGTAGTAGTAGTAGTAGTAGTAGTAGTAGTAGTAGTAGTAGTAGTAGTAGTAGTAGTAGTAGTAGTAGTAGTAGTAGTAGTAGTAGTAGTAGTAGTAGTAGTAGTAGTAGTAGTAGTAGTAGTAGTAGTAGTAGTAGTAGTAGTAGTAGTAGTAGTAGTAGTAGTAGTAGTAGTAGTAGTAGTAGTAGTAGTAGTAGTAGTAGTAGTAGTAGTAGTAGTAGTAGTAGTAGTAGTAGTAGTAGTGTAGTAGTAGTAGTAGTAGTAGTAGTAGTAGTAGTAGTAGTAGTAGTGGTAGTGGTAGTGGTAGTTAGTGGTAGTGGTAGTGGTAGTGGTAGTGGTAGTGGTAGTGGTAGTGGTAGTGGTAGTGGTAGTGGTAGTGGTAGTGGTAGTAGTAGTAGTAGTAGTAGTAGTAGTAGTAGTAGTAGTAGTAGTAGTAGTAGTAGTAGTAGTCGTAGTCGTAGTCGTAGTCGTAGTCGTAGTCGTAGTCGTAGTCGTAGTCGTAGTCGTAGTCGTAGAAATAGTACAGCTTAATACCTACATCTACATCTCGACCTACATCCACATCTACACCTACAGATAAGCTAAGCTAAGCCGTGCTATGCTAAGCTAAGATATGCTATGATATGTTATGCTATGCTGCGC